ACAACGAATATTGGTACAACTTTCAAAGAAGGAATTTGAAAAGGATGTTATTAATTTTATTAAATCTTATTTAGTTCCCAAAACTAAATACGGTCTATATTTTGAAAGTGACATCTATGAAAAATTTAGTTCAACACTGGCATTATATTTTAAAGATGCTGAAATAAATTTTACTAGGTATACCAATAAATTGATGGACATTGAATCGAAAGAGGAAGTAAAAGAAATAATTGAAAATTACCATGTAGGTAAAACAAATCATCGGGGAATCGATGATACCGATACTGCAATTAAAACATTATATTATTGGCCCAACCAAAGAAAATCCGTACAAACTTTTATCAATCAATGCGAAAATTGCCTATTAGTAAAATGTGACCGAAGGCCCCTCAAACTAAAATTCAATATTACCCCCACACCAACAAAACCGTTCGAAATAGTACATATTGATACCATAACACTAGATAACACAAAATTTCTTACGGTTATAGACACATTTTCAAGATTTGCACAAGCCTATAAACTTAATTCCGGGCAAGCGATCGAAGTAGTAAACAAATTGATTAAACATTTCAGTAGACATAATACACTTGAACAAATAGTACTAGATAACGGAGAAGAATGTAACATAAAAAAGAAAATCTCATAATCCTTTAAGGAAAACAGCTACAATAGAAAAGTCCCATCGTAATACAAAACCGAATATTCATTTAGCTAATGTAAAGTGACCACGAAAAACGACTTATCAGTTTAATACCGGAAATGTCGATGTTACAGAACTTGGACCCTCGCGATGTCAGCTGCCAGGCCTGCATTCAAGATAAAAGATATCTCACACAACATCGGACTTTTACCGGAGAAGGTAGAATAATTATGTCTGAACACATTTTGATGCATTATTATGATATAGATATATTTCAGTCGGAATTTTAAATTTAAAACACCAATACAGAAAAAATTCCAAATATATTAAAACAAATAAAACAATTTTGGAAGATACCTTTCAATAAAATACTTAATTATACCGAAGCTATGGCTCAAGAGAAATTGGACAACTTGATCATACACTCGAATAACAGGAAAAGACGAGGACTGATCAATGGACTTGGCTCAGCAATAAAATGGATTACGGGAAACATAGATGATGCGGACGGACAAAAATTAAACACAATCATAGAACACATCAACACTAATCAAATTACACTTCAACATCAAATAAAATTCATGTATTCCCTTAACGAAAGAATAATCAGTAACTTTAATGAAACCATAAACACCTTACGGTATGTATTTGAATGTAAAATAAATTTAATTGGTACAAACATTAGAAATATTCAACAAATAGCCTCAGTTAAAGATACTTTTAATCAATTACAAATCCTTTATCAATTATTACTAGAAATAATCCAAGATATTGAAAATTCAATAACTTTTTGCAAATTAAAAACAATTCATCCAAGCATTATAAACACCCGTCAATTATTTTCGGAGTTAAAAAGATTGGAGAACCGATTATATACTAAGTTGTCCTTAGAAGTGAAATATGAGAATATCATAGACTTTGAAAATATGTTAAAAGTCGACTGTAGAATAGAAACAAATCAAATAATCTACTTTTTACGATTACCATTTTGTAGTGACGATAAATTTGAATTATATAAATTACAACCTATTCCAACAAAAGTTGGCCAAAAAATAGTTACAACTATTCCAGAAAATAAATATGTTCTTAAATCCAAAAGTAATGAGCTAACATATTTAACAGACGAATGTATTAAAAACAAAGTTTACCATTGTCCGCAAATTCTAATATCGAATACACCGTGCGTCTACACGGAGCTTCAGATAAGCAATAACCACGTGGTATTCGTTCCAGAAATCAACCAATTTTTATGCACCTTCATCACGCCAGAGAAAGTCCAGATCACGCAAGACAACACGATAGAAACAAAAATCCTGGAAGGAATATTTCTGCTAAAACCAGGCAACAGCGAAATAATATACAAAGGACACCCACTCGTCTATCGGACAACGAGCCATTGAAAACCAAGCATCAATTTCTACCTCACATTTGGACCAACCCAGATCTCCAACTTCAGCTCAAGCTTCATGATATTTCTCCAAACTTTGTGACAAAAAATACCATTCTACCATATGTACATGCTAATTTAAGCCTATGGACATTATTCCTTTATATTATAATCATTATTATTGTATAACGATAATATTTATAATTAGATGCATAAAAACTAAAATTGTAAATAAAAATAAACAAACAAAAAAGGTAGTAAAAGACGACCCCCCAGGGGAAGCATTACTCTAAGGGTGGAGGAGTTATATATAAGTTACACATATTATTCAATATTAGTTATAGCGTTACTTGTACAGAAAAATGCACTCGGCTTATCAGATGTCGATTAAGCACAATTGCATTTTTCTCCCCCTTAACCCGAGGTGACTTAATGATTGACTGAGGATAAATAGATTAGATTCTGTGCACGCTTCCTCGAATGTATATCGGCGGAGCTACTATTTTATAAATAAACATTTTTAAAAAGTAAGATCTCGAATTATTATCCATCATTTGAATGGATCAAACGAAAGATTTTAGATAAATAGTATTATACCCAGATTTTAACATTGTAACATGTGCACATTTAATGTGTGAATTAGCACCTTAGTAAGCAGCAAACTTTATATATATACACAGAAATGATAAAAATGATATAAATGAAATAGAAATTGGCAGGGAATCGGTGGGTTTACTCTTACAATACATGAGAGACGTGTTGAAATTTTCAATTTGAAAACTCCTTCCCCTTGGCAAAAAGCTTTCTTAGTGTGAGGATGTGAGTGCTGCGTGGAGGTTGACTGGTGAGTGTTTGCTGGAAGATTTCCAGCCAACGAATGATTCCACTGAAATCAGTGTCTCTTCAGCTTTCTAACGAGCCATCGTGCGTTAAAATCCGTTCAAGCACGGGTTAGTTAAAGTCAGTGATATATGTATGTTATCTATATTGAATTTGATTAATGATATTGGCGTAGCTGCGACTGAGTTCGACTTCAACAATCCAAAAATATTACACACAGAACAAAACAAACATAAACGTAATTTTTTAGAAATGGTTTATATCAACAGAGACAAACATAGCATCAATTACAGAACAGATACATGTAAATCGCAGCTACGCCAATATCATTAATCAAATTCAATATAGATAACATACATATATCATCACATCACATTCCACACATCAAATATTTTTCACATAATCTAATTTTCCAACAATTTAGCTTTTCTTTTCCTATTTATCCCTTTCTATATAATCCTGAAAGGATAATCTGGCCGAGCCATTACCAACGTTTTTTCCCTTCGTCGGCTCTTTTCACCTCAAAGAAGCTGATACCTTATACAAAAATGTCTTTCTATACCGACTTCCTTCCCCACCCCTTCAAAATCCAACGTGTATAAACATAAAACAGCAATATCGCTCTGGCACTCTCAACACGACACGCAAGAATGGCACAATTACACAGAAGACAAACACTTTGAGTGAGTAGAAATACTTTGATTGAATATAAAAAATATATTTTGCATTGTATAAATTCACTTTTTTCCACATCCTACATGTTTATGTTAAATTTGAACAATGTTTGTAAATCCCGGGCCCTAAAGATGATCTCAATAAAGATCGAAACGTTGGCACGATAAAGAAAATGTTTTTCTGAAACCTATATCACACCAGATTTCTGAATAATAAAAAAAAAAAACTGTCCAGAAACCAATCTTATAATATCCACTCCACGACGATGAGAAAAAGTCCCAAAATAATCAAATAAAACACTATCACGTTCCTTTTTTACTTTTTTGTCCGGCTCGTCCATACCGACCAGTCTCAGCCCGAGTCCTCTTTGTTCACGCCGGTCGGGCCCCACTCCTTGCCAGCGTCCCCTCTGAGCCCTGGCTGGGCCTCCTTCGGCTTCCAAATGCCACCCGCGCGTCTTCGGCCTCTTCCAAACCTCGCTCAACCTGCCGAGGGCACCCTTGGTCACCCCAGTGAAAAAAAAGGTTTTTTTTTCTCTCTCATTTTTGCTTGTAACATTTCCCCTCCTTCCTCCCAAAAAAGGTGACTTCCGGGGTGAGGCTGTAGGTCCTTCACATGCCATTGGCCTAAGCTCCGGCCTTCTTCGTTCTCCAACTTATAGACCAAGGGAGACAGTTTTCTCTTAATCTTAGCTTTAGAGAAGCTTTGAGAGTTCCTTGTCCCAGTGCCTTTGATTGTCTCGAATTCCTCTCATTTTCGCTTGTAACAAGACTCACCGCTTTGCCTATGTGGTTCACCAGGTGATGCAATGCACGATACCCTTCACTGTGAAATCTATGCATATGAAAGATACTGTCTGGAAAAATACTTGAACAAGATTATTACGGAGGCAAACCTCAAAGAAACAATCGCACGCCCAGTAGAGTATAAATTATTTTCAGGTTTCATTAAAAAATAGCCTAAAAAAACTTGAATGTCAAAGGCAATTAATTCAACGTGAAAGGTGACACCACCTGTCTTGCTATTGCGGGCTACACACTATTTATTTACCGCCATTTTCCATAGTTACAATTTTGACGCCGTTGTTAATTCTGGTTAAAATGTGATATTTATATTGTAAATTATTTATTTAGACATATTTATGAAAATCGTTGCAAATTCATTGCATGTATATTTATTTATCTAATTATTTATGAATATTAATGGTTAATTAAGTTAAAAAAATTTAATAAAAAATAAATAAATAAAATTAAAAAGTAGAACATAAACCATTAAGCACAAAAATTTATTAGAATTACAAAACCCTCCAACGTGGCAGTGAGAGGCAACAAGCCGTAGATACAGCCGGTAGAAAAGAGAGGAAGCCACAGATAGGATAGGTTGAAAACTCCTTCAACCTGATGATGAGCTATAAGCTTGAAATCCAGAACGTTGAAAACAACTAACTGTGAGTATGAACTATCTTTTTAAAACGATTGATATTTAAACTACTTTAAGTTTAATTATCAATTGTTAATATCATACTACGAATGTAGAGCCCTGAAGAAGGCAAAATAAATGCTGAAAGGCTGGTAGTAGTGCAAAACGCTGATTTTCAGATACATCCCTGATCCCTAAACAATTGCATTACAAAGCTGTTCAATCATCACTGTTGGAATAATCACAATTTTTTTTTTTTCAAAGTTTAAAAATCACTTTTCACATATGTTCTAATCTGGGGGGTCACAAATTGGTTTTTGGTTAACCAAGTTTTTGCTGAGTTGAATAAGCACTAATACAGTAAGTACAAATATATTATGAACTTAATGATACATGAAATGTAATCATTTTTCTTTACGGCATTCCATTTAGTGAGCCTCCTAGAAACGTGTTTTTTGATGTAGTGTGCCACAACCTCTTTTTGTTATAACTTATAAGCTAACACGCAGATACCTAAGGTTATACCAGGTGATTGCTCGATGGCCAACCACTAGTCGGGGGCTACTTCTGAGCTATAGGTTAGAGCAGGTGAACAGATCACAATACCAGAATGCAGAGAAAGCATTATGTAAGAAAGAGTAGATTCCTGTTTGACTGGGCAACCCAACTATGTGCTGCTTTGTTTAAAAAAATATGTATATAATAGCCCTGTAAAAACAAAATTTACTAATACTTTAGATAGTCATTGTAACAAAAAATAATAAATGTGGTCACCAAGAGCCATTGAGCTACTTGAATAATAAAGATAGGCTGTCATCATTGACAATTAGGTCTGGCATACAACCCCAAAATAAAATATGTATTTGTAATTCAGTAGTCACACAAATGGTCTGCACAATTACTGTAATAGAGCATTATTAAAACAACCAAAATTATTCTGTCCTCAAGACACTTAGTTTCAAATTACTATATAGATTTATTCAATAATTTATATTTAACAGGAAATGCAAATCAATAGAATTTACTAGAATTTTTGTACATTATTTACAATTTTGTGTCAGGAGTTAGCAACTACTGAAGTATATTTATTTTAGAATTGAATTCAAGGTAGTTGAGATTCTTGAATCTAGGACCTTACATTGATTAAGAAAAGATTTGCTTCAAAATGAATAAACATTAACTTGATATAAATGAAGTGATTTTATTTTTGAAAGCGTTAAATCTATGAAATCTATTGAAAAAATATTGAACTTAAAATTATAGATGACTGCTTACTCCTTCAAACGAAGTTATTGGGTTGTCCGGAAAATAATGCAGGATTTTAAGTTTTCATTAAAAAAAATCTATATAAAATATTCTATTTACGTTTACAGGATTACTCATTTGTATGAATGTCAACACTTATTAATCCTCTTCCAAATGATATTGTTTGTTTACCTCTGTAGCATTCCGCTACTTGGAAATAATTCAGTCATCCTTATAATGTCAAAGCGAGAATTTCGTACGATTTTCTTTTACGAGTTTAAACTCGGCCGAAGCGGAGCCCAAACGGCTAGAAACATTAACCAAGTCTGGGGCGAGGGTTGTGTTAATGAGTGCACTGTGCAAAGGTGGTTTAAAAAATTTCGGGAGGGAGATTTCAGCCTTGAAGATGAAGAAGGTCGTGGAAGGCCTTCCTCTCTTAATGATGATGTTCTGCGATCAGTGGTGGAAGAAAACCCCAAAACAACTGTTCGAGAACTTGCAGAGCAACTCAAAGTCAGTAAAACGACCGTCGCTGACCACATTTTCCAAAGCCCCCAACTCATCAAAAAAAGGTAATGGTTACGGTATGGTGGGCTTCATTTGGTTTAATACACTACAGCTTCTTAAATCCTGGCGAAACCATCAATGCTGAATCATACTGTAACCAAATTAATACCATGCATCAGAAATTGGCAGTAATGAAGCCCTCTTTGGTCAATCGGAAAGGGCCCATTTTGTTGCATGACAACGCTCGACCACATGTGTCACGTGTAACGTCACAAAAATTATTGGAGCTTGGCTATGAAACTTTGCCTCACCCACCCTACTCTCCGGACCTCTCGCCTACTGACTACCATTTTTTTAGACACCTGGACCACTACTTACAACACATAATATTCAAAAATCAAACGGAACTGGAAAATGCATTTATTGACTTTATCAATTCTAAAAATTCTGAATTCTACTCAGACGGAATTAATAAGTTACCAACACGTTGGGAGAAATGTATTGAGAGTATGGGAAATTATTTTGATTAAAGAACATTGTAAAGTAACTAGTTTCTTTTTTTTTGTTTAATACCAAAATCCTGCATTATTTTCCGGACAACCCAATAGATGCTGTATACAGCTTATCTTTAGAGAGCCACCTGTTTCTTAATATTGAAAAATGCTATTTATTTTTTTTATTTTTTAAAAAATTTTATTTTTTTTAATAGCAAATTTAAACTCTTTATTTTTTAAATATTTTTAAACTAAATTTTTTCCAGTCTAAAACTTATTTTCACTTATTCTATAAATTATACTGCTCAGAGACTGGCATGCCTGAACATACTGAGGCGATGAAAACAACCTCCACTCGACATGCCCTTCTGAATCTACCACCACTACACATTTTCATCCAGGTATAGTCCTACAGGCTCTAATAGCTAATTTGGTCGGCGCTTCAGGCAGACAAGTTTCAGGGGATGCTTGTGATGTCATAACCCCAAATTCAGATTTGATAAAAAATTATAAAAACTGATTTGATAGAAATCTGCAGTCTGGGAAAAAGAAATTCTGGTTAATGCCAACTCTACCCAGACAGCCAGGTGACACTAAAGAAAACTATCCCATTGGTAGTAAAGTCCAGAACTGTTTGGGATTGCATCAGAACCCTGTCAAACCTTGGGAATAACAATAATAGCCCTTGTCTAGGTATGAAAGTAATCTGTTGCTTTGGCCACTTAATTGGACCAGGAAAGTTTGATAAGGACACTTATCAACCCTGAACCCTTTTGTGGTAAACCAAACTGCCCAACATGTAGATCCATCAGGCAATGGATTAAGAATAAGTCCTCAATACTGGGGTTGTAGTCTAGGGCAGAGGCATTAGAAAAAATTCATCAAAGGACCATCACAAAATCTAATGGCAGAACTATTAAATCTAGGTGTTAGGACTATATTAATAGTTGAACTGCTGACTAGTCACTAAATATTCTGGAGGATGTATAAACTAGAGGAGCAGAAAGAAGCTTGTGTAGATATTGCCAGGAAGAAGAAGAAGAAACAGTTTTCAAGGTTGGTGCAAAGGTTTATGCAGGCAGAGATTCTAAGTCCTGGGAGAGGAAAAGATACACACAAGAATCATTATCAAAGCCTTGAGATCTGACAAAAAGCCTTAATATAATAAGAAGCTCTTGATAATAAAGATTCTCCTTCCACTGAATGAATTATATTTTGATACTAAAGAAGGAAGTCATTTAAAGCTAGTCTCAAGTCCTTTCTTTCAAACCTAGCTTTCTGTTATTTTTTTTGTCATTTGAAGATTTCCAACTTCCCAGGGCTGTCTTAGAAGTTTTCTGCTGAACTAGTAGAGGGGACAACTTTTAGAGAGGTCTTCAATGTCTCTGTCCAGGTTTGACCATGAAAAATATTGTCAAGAGTTGAAAATCATCCCTTGCATGTAATAACTTTAAAAATCCTTCCTAAATTTTGTAGAAATTACAGTTATTTTGCCCCACATGATTTGCTTGCAGCTCTTTGTCAACTTCCATTATTTTTTTCTTTAAAAGTTTATATGGAGTCAATATAGTAAACATGTTGGGAATAAATTTTTAATAAAACTAGCGGCCTGTTAGGGCATTAGCCCCATTCCATAGTCAGAATCATGGAATGTATCTTATCCTAAGGTCTTATGATTTATGAATGTGGAAATGCGGATTGCAAATAGTAAGTCGATAGCAAGCAAACTAACATTGTTAGTCATTCATCACTTTACTTTTTGAGGTGAGTCCCTCATTTAAGGTCAGTCACTATTCTCACTTGCAGGATTGGCATCTTAGAAAAAAAGAAATTTATAATGTTATTTCAGATAAGAACAAAATCAATTTATTCCTGAAAATGTTAATTTATTTATGGAATTAGTGTTATAATATACAATATTATGCTTATATTGCTTACATACCTAAAAATAAATAGATTTTTAAAACCCTTATTAACAACTAAACTTGTCCCTCTTTTATATTACTCGCTATGACACACTTATAATGTTTTTGCTGCGCTATACTGCCTATACGATTCCAGATAAGTGGCCACTACAATCATGAGGTGTCGATGTAGCAATCATGACAATGGGACGGTCACATATTTACTAACCAATGGTATTTTCAAAGAAATTCAATTCACAGATGAATTTGCGAAACAAAAGCATATTTAAATAGATTTTGTCTTAAAGAAATATAGAAATGCTATATTTTATTTCAATTTAACCTAACATTTCATTTGTTGTTAATATTTCCTAGTATAGTCCAGTTAGATGTAACTAAAAATTATAAAGGTCACAAAAAGTTATTGGTTTTCACACAGCTTTAATAATAAAGACATGCAATCATTCATTATTACCAATTGGTGTCAATACAGATGGCTAAAATGAATGGTATATTTGAAACCCACAATTATACATACAGTCAGTACAGTACAGTGGTAATAATGCTTTGCAAAATCATCATAAAGCATAAACAAGTTGCAAAATTATGGTAAAATATTACAAAAATGTATGTTTTCACATTTCTTCTCTAATCAAATGAAATATTAATTTATTCATTAATTTATATTTTTCAGGAAATCAGAATGTATGAAATTTACTCGATTGTTGTTGCAAATATCAGGCTTCATTCCAATTAACAATTCTTATGGCTATTCTTTCAGTTTTAAACTTATTTCATTGAATGGAAAAGTAGCTATGCTTGTGTACAGTTTCATTTCATTCATGTTTGTTGTACAGTCTGACTTGACAGAATCATTCTTGGCAATGACAATTTTCTGTATGTCAGTGCAACTTGTGCTGAAGGCATATATGACAAGCAAAAACAATTTTTTTAAAATGCTCGATGAAGCAGACCAACTGTTGGAAAATGTCTTGACAGACCAAAAGGCGTATGACATTTTTGAACCGATGTTTACTTTCATACCACTTCATTTTTTACAAATAGTAATTGACTACTTTTCTGACAGACCGCTTAAAAATCCTTACCAGCTGTGGTCGCCTTTCAGTTCCGTTTTATTGTCATATTTCTTTCAATCATACATCCTACTAATGGCTGGTATAATTGAGACTTCTTACCTTGACAGCATTGCCAGTGTTTCCCTACATATTACAGGCTGCTTAAAAATTCTTTCTCACCGATTGAGCAATCAGTCAATGTTTGTCTCTAAAAAAGTTGAGAGGGAGTCTATTAAAATTCATTCAGATGTAATTCGGTGAGTTATTAGCCAGCCAAACATTATACAATTAACTGTCTATAATTAATTTTTATTTGTTTTCTCAGGTTAGTGGCATCAATGAATAAAAATTATGGAGCAATGTTAACAATAGAGATATTATTTGCTTCCGTTCAGGCTTGTTTAGCAGGGTATCAAATCATGGTTGTAAGTTAAGAGAATAACTTTTAATGATTAGTTTTAGTCAATTTGTCTTAAAAAACGTAATACAGTGTTTCAATGTTCAATAATCCACATTTTGTTTGCCTTATCAATAACTGTTCTAGAAAATTTGGTTATTACTGATCATCTTGGCCTGCCTATATTTTTAGTGTTGATTGGCAAAGATTGTTAAATGCCAAAACATGTCTGACACACCAAACCAGTGAGGACAGGTAGACCAAATGATTGGTAATGATCAAATTTCAAGTAATTTCCCAACCTGGACTACACCCAGAAATCGTACAATTTAGTAGAAAATTTGGCCATTAATCATCAATGTACATGGCACACAGAACCACCTTTTGTTCAGTTTCTAACTTTTTTAGTTGTATCTCTTAATTTTTCTTATTTTACATTACAAATATTCTTCTCCCTTAATCCCTTTTATTTCTTGGGTTGAGTAGGGTTTTGAACAGTTTACTACCCTAAAATAAAATGTAATGTAAAAAAGCAAAGTGTTGTATGTTCTCTATTCAACCCTAAATATTTATTTTTTATTAAAACTACTAAAACATTACCAAAGCGTACAGATTAAGTCAGATAAATTAGGCTAAAGTCAAATTTATCACCAACACGGCTCTTTGTTACGCTAAACCTGCACGACCGATCTGTCATGTGGGGTTCAATCCCCTTGATAAGAAGAAGTTTCCAGCCCTAAAATCTTTGGAAGCTCCCCAGACTCAGTGAGGAATTACCTCGTTCTTGTGCGTGTTTTTTTATTTGTTGCATTTTAAGAACTTAGCAGGACACACTGCATCTATTTATTGGCCTGAGGTTGTATCCAATGTGTAGTAGGACACCTCAATAGAAAACGGATGACACCTTCCACACTGTTCCCATTTGCCGAAAAAGGGGATAGTTTAACTAGCATACCTACCAGTTTAATGCCACAATTAGACTGAATTATTTTTCCAGCATCTGGAAATTTGCAGAAGTCATTATGATAAGAAAAACGGGAAAACCTGTGCACATGGTCAACTCATATAGACCAATATCACTATTACCTAGCTATTTATTGGCCTGAGGTTGTATACATTGTGTAGCAGGACACCTTAATAGTAAATGAATGACACCTCCCACACCCTTCTCATTTCATCCTCATCATAAGCGAACCACTGTTTTATCCCTTCTGTTCACAACCTGGCCTGTTTCTCAAACTTTTGTGAAATTGCAACACATCATTTTTCAGGAAAACCATTCAGCCACAATATCTCCATCCCATTGGGAATGTCCTACTTTCATTTAACTTTCGCCCCCACCCTTCCAAACCTCTATTGTTCCTCCTATTGTCTTTCTGATTTTTTTGTCTGACAAGTGTTCTCAGTTTAATTATGCATTGTTTAGGTACACAGTAATTTTCCGAATCCTTTTAAGTTTTTGTATCTTTATTTATATTTATTTATTTTTTAAGTATTAATTTTTCAATGCTACTCATGTATATGCATGTACATATATTGTATGTACAAAGTTGAGCTAAATAAATCAGTAATCAGTATTTATTTTGTTTTTGGTTATTATTGTTGGTTATTATTGTTCTTAGTGTTGTTGTTTTTGTGTACTATTCTCTCTCCTTTTCAGCTCATGACCTAATCTTAATCACATGAATCTAAGAGGACCAAAATGCCATCAGCTCCTGGACATTAAAAATGGAACTCTTAATATCAATAAGTCCCAGACGATAGTGTTTGGATTCCATTCCTTCTCCAAACCTTACCTTCTATTCCTCCACTCTGCATTAACAACTAACAACTCCTTTTATCCTTTATATGCATCCACATTTCCAAAATCTCTCATCGCTTCTCCACCCTCTGACAATTCGGTCATGCAAGCCAATACTTCCCAATCAGCACCCACAGACTCCTGGTTTTCTCCCTTGTGCTTCCTCATTTTGATTATGGCTATTTAATTTATGGTACTCACCAGTGAGCTTGTTAACAGACTAAAGAGAATCATGAACTGCTTTCTTCGGTTCATATTTCACTCCCTAAAGAGATTTCATGTGTGTAATATGTATCTTATTATATTTACATATTATCTCACACTGTAAATATTATTTTATATTATAAATATTCTTCTTTCTTAGTCCATTTTATTGCTTTGGTTGAGTAGGTTTTTAAACTTTGATTGAAAGTTCAATTAAATAATTTTGTTACTAAAATTTCATAATTTTGAAAGAATAAATGTCAATTCACAGGGTTACCATGCTGTGCATTTTAGATCTATTTCCCTTTTAATGTACCTACAGTGAGTCTTAATTCAATCTTTGTAACTCTTCTTGAGGAGGGTGTGTCCTACTATTCTGGAAAATATGCTGATGCTACAACCCCTACTTTCTTACCAGCTTTTGTTATTTGTATTTTAACTGAGACTAGATCTTTTGTAATAATTGTGTACTATTGTATCTAATGAAATATTCCCGATTAATGTTTTGCCATGATTTTATATTTGCAGGGACTTGAAAATTTGCATTCAAACCTTTTAGTTTTTTTCATTACATTTATATTTGTTTGGCTGTTGCCTTCGATGATATGCTTCTGTGGCCAGGAGATAGAAACAGAGGTGAGGTTTTTATCAGATTTGTTTTCATGAGAAGTTTAACATTTTTTTTTATGAACAGAGTGAAAATATACACAGACTGCTGCATTACAACTCATGGTTTCAAAGAAGTCCAGAAAATAGGAAAACAGTGTTTTTCCAGATGCTGATGATGTCAAAGCCCCTGAAGTTGCATTTCAGAAATTTTATTGTGTTTAACGTTGCACAACTTGCTGGGGTAAGATTTAATACTTGCTGACTATAAAATAAAATAAAATAATCTTTGTTATTGCAGGTGTTACAATCGGCCTACACAGTCATGACAATGATGCGATTATTTTTCAATTGAATACTCATTAAAGTTGTCATTATTTACAGTTACATTGTAAAATAATTTATAGTTAGTGCACTGAAAATTATATTTATAAAAAAAAAATCGACTAAGCTTATCACAACAGCAATGTTGCACTTAAAATGTACAGATTTTACAAATTAAAATCATGTTTCTATAGACAAGCATGGTAGAGGAAGATTTCAATTATAAATTTGACATTTTAGAAAAATATGCATAAGGTTTTTCTGTTCATGCAAATTGCACACAATGTATAGAACAGTCGAATTTATTGCATAGCTGTTTTTTCTTTAAAAAATTTTTTGTATTAGTATTTTATTTAAGAAATGAGAGAAAAACCATTACTTTTGTCTTCTTGACTTTGCAACAACAAATTTCAACAAATTTCTCATGTTATACTGATGCAGCATATTTAAAATTTTCTGGCCTTCATAGCTTGAGTCTCCAATCTCATCTGGAAGTAATAGTGCAAGTATGTAGCCAAGTTTACCTAATCTCACTCCAATTAGGCCTTATTCATTAAACAAAATTCTATATAAAATCAGATAAAAATAAAGAGAACAGTATTGTGCCCCTTAGATAATACATTTTTTCATCTCCTAATTCCCAGTTTAATTACAATTGAAAATTAGCCTTGCTATAGAGGGATTCTTTCAAACTTAGTATTTTATTACTTATTCTGACCTCATTTAACTTGAGCCAAAATGACTCATGACAGACTAAGTCAAAATCATTTTCTAAATCGACAAAAAAGGAAATTTTTTTGTTATCTAGTTGTACTGGATAATTAGATTATTTAGAATAAATATTTTAACTGTGCAGCTTTCACTATGATTATTTGGAGATAATGAGATGCGGTCTGGTGTGACGTAGGTTTTAAAAAAACATTTTCTTTATTGTGCCTATGTTTTGATCTTTATTGAGATCATCTTCAGGGCTCAAAGTGTTTGTTTTCTGTGTAGATGTGTCATTCTTGTGTCATGTTGAGAGTGCCAAATAATCATTAACTAACGGTCACTAAACTCTACACACAGCTTTCACTATGTTGGAAAGCGGATTGTTCTTCTAGTATATTATTCACACTTGTTGAATACTGAATTCATTCCTAACAATTTGCAAAATACATTAAACAAGATTTATGGGTTTGGTCAGATAAATTAAATTATAGTAAAATTTTATAGGAAGAAATTAATACCATTGAAATAAAAAAAATAAAACCAGCTATCTGGAAGTGAATGGGCAAAAAATAATTCAAATGTCACAAAAAAAAAATGTCAGAAATAAATGTATAGTTACAGTATTAAGAAAAAGTTATGCAAAATTAATTAAAGAAAGAAAAAATTGGAGTAATTGCCTGCTCTTCTAAACCTGCACTGATCGTCACATGGAATTTTAATCTATTCAAATGTCATATTAATAAGAAGTTTCCAGCTCTAAAACATATCCATGTTAATACATAGGTAGTTGTTTTAATATAGGATTATTTTAATTTTGTTTTTCTTAATTCAGACCTGGTAGATTTGCTTAAGTACAACAGTTACTGAGAGAAATAATGTTGGGTGAAAGTATTCATGCATCAGAAGTGTCAACATTGAGATTTGAAAGTAGTGTACGTTTGATGTTGGTAAAAAAAAAAAAAAGACTTGGACTCATGTTTGTTGAAAACAGCATAAATTCTTGTATGTGACAACACGTTCACATTACACTGCATGCAATTGAACCTGGTATTACGATAAAAGGCTTTCTGCTAGTCATTCAGTTAATTGAGAACCACTAATCAGATTTTTAAGCATAGACCTGATAATCATTATCTGATGGTGCGTTTCCTAGATTTTTGACTTCCTTGATCTTGGTTTGCTTTGGATAAAACTAGTTTGCTCAGGTTGTGCACTGATAACACTTTTAAATTTAAAACAAAATGAATTTGGTTTCACTTGTATAAGTAGGTAAAAATTATTGTTTGCAAAAGATAGCAATAAAAGGACTTACTTTCTATGTATGACTTGAGCACACCTACACATTGTCCTGCATAAAAATTTATGTGAAATTAATTTTCGAATGTGGCAAATGCATTTGCACAAATTGTTATAACAGTGACCCTACTGTGTCAGAAATTGAAAAGTCATGGGATGTTTGCTAATTAGAAAGGGGGAATCTATTAGGGTTATCAAATGGAATAAGCATTTTGTTAAATAAAAAATTGTGCTATCTTTCTGCACTATATCAATACATACGATACTGTCATTCCCACAAAATATACTTATTTTGCTCTCCTCGCTCATGACATTCAATGGGCAGTTGAATATTGTATGACTGAAATTACTCTTTACAAAGTATGTAACAATCCATATATGTATTTAGTAGTCATAATTGACCTTATTAATTATTTGATTTAATTATACTTTTTATCTAAGGTCTTGTTTGAGACAAAAAAGCTAATGTCAAACACGGGATTTGAATCCATGACCTTCGGCTCAATATGATTGATGCAGTGTATTGAGCTCATGGGTTTGAATCCTGCTCGTAACACTAACTTTTTTGTCTCAACAAGGCCTTAGATAAAATGTATAATTAATTCAATTATGTAATAACTGTTACAAAAGCACAATGGTAGGAGAGAGAAGGGTCAGAGAATCCAGGGACGTCAGTAGAATTGACTCAATGCCAACAGGGTCTGTGAACCTAGATGCCCTATCACTTGCCCCGATACAATTTGTAAGAAGATCCATCTTAATATAAGTTAAAATAAGAAATCTAGGAATAGTTATCCACATAGGGAAATCATTGTAAAGAATTTTGAACATATTTTTTTTATGGGGCTGGAAATATGATGGTTCGCCCAACCAGTAGCGTTGTAGTATAAACAAACATTTCTGAAAAACCTGAAGGGTATAGAAATGCAATAGGTGAATAGCCCCCAGTAGACAATAGATACCAAAAGATGAAGAGTTTATTATGTGAGAAGGTTGTTGCATGTTGACGACAAGGCTGGATGGGGTTGGACACTGGAGGTCCATCGACAATGGATCAGAGGCTGGAGCTCTCCAGAGATGTATATGCAGGGATGCACATCCATAGTTTATTTAGTTTTTCAGATGGATGAACAAGAGTATTATGTTTCAACCAATGAGTCTGATATTACAATTAATTTTGATTAAAAAGTTCAATCTGATTTGACCTGGGGAGTTTTTCAAAGGAGAAATCATTTTGACCCAGAAACAGTGCCTACCATGGTGACCATATGTCAATCTATCATAATATAGAGAGATTAGCATTAGAAAATTATTAGACACTAATGCATCCCTATCTAATATCCATCCCTACCGATTACAAGTCATTATGGACCATAAGATGCAAGGTAACTTGCAAAAAGCAGCTGAAAGCACCATCGAGGTAACTAGTTTCATAATATTTCAAGTGCTTATTTACGTCTGTTTGACATTAACATGTTTACTCATAGTTTTGACCCGTTGTCGGATATCCGAGATGTGGTTTTCCCATGTGAAAGCGCCATTTGAAATTTCAGGAATTACTAAAAAAAAAAAAAAAAAAAACCGGAATCAATTATTTGTTTTTGCAATTAAAGGTGAAGATGGAACTCTAAACCATTTGTTATATGTCACAGAAGTAGAAAGTATAATGATAAAATTATACAACTTGCAGATGACATCAGTATTTTATTCTACTCAAGAGTCCTCAGAGGCAGCAATAGAAGCCATGGCAGCAGTATCAAACTTACTGGGTTGAACATTCACTTTTAGATTAGTTATTTCAGTGGAAAAAATGAAAATATGCTATTTTACAACATCAAGAAAATCTACTCTCTTTCTAATACTATGATCTTGGCTCAAAACTAATTTACGGTGGTTGGTGAGGTAAAGTTTCTCAGACAAAAATTGGACCATATTGCTACAATTGATACTAAAGCAGAAAAATTTCATAATGTGCTAAAATGTATTTCATACCAACCCTAACACTAGCTTACTGTACTATAAAGCAACTGTAAAATGTAACAACAAAGTGACAACACTTTGAGCCCTGAAGATGATCTCAATAAAGATTGAAACGTTGGCACGATAAAGAAAATGTTTTTCTGAGACCTACTTCACACCAGACCGCATCTCACGATTTCTGAATAATTATCGATTAACGGTCACTAATCACCATACATTTCTGTAAGATCTATTATTGACTTTGGATCAATTTATTATGAACAAGCATCTAGATCTCAAATAGAAAGACTGGACATCATACAACATAAATCCCTCAAAGAGTGTACGGGAACTCTTAAAAGCACCCGTAATGATAACATCAAGGCTGAATGTAATGAAAAGCCTCTTGCATTTAGAAGAGAAAAAAGTGCAGAACATTTTGTTTTATGCCTAATGCCGAAAAAACATCACTTCTTCAGCATATTTGTGATCGATCTAATTATATTGGCAAAAAAAAAAAATCTGAATTCCAAGGAATGAGTGAATTAAGAGATAATCTTCCAATTTTTTCTACAGAACTGAAATTAATCAGAAGCCCCTTGATTGGTATTCACTGAATGACTCAGGAGGACATCCTGCAGTAGTTAACCCACGACTATTGGCTGATCTTCAGGAACTTTTTCCTCATGACCACCTAACTGTGTACACTGATAGATCCCTTAAAGCTGGCAGAGTGTGATGCTTTTGTTTCTTCCCATCTTACATTATAGGGGAATCAATTCCTATGCCAATGGGAATTTATTCAATAGAATAATTAGAAATTAAGATAGCACTGGCTTTGTGTGTTTGCAAAATACGTCCACACCTATAAACAATTATATGACAGCCGACATTAAAAATATCATCTATAATTTATCTATTATAAAAAAGAACATTCTTTTCGTGTGGTTAATGGTCACATGGGTCTATTATGAGAAAGCTGACACACTGGATAAATACGCTACACAGTTTTGCAACACAAAAACATAACGATTCCATATACAGACCTTTTCCAAATGTTAGAAACAAAAAGCAAATAGAGTGGCAAACTATATATGCTTCTTCAGACAAAACTTATAAGACTCTTTTTCTTATTATGAAAATAAAATCATGGTTTAGGAACCTGGACAGGACAAGAAAAGAGATTACCATCATACATTAAGAACTAACATCAGTATTTGTGCTGCGCACCTTCATAAAGTTGGCAGGGAACAACACCCCAATTGTGAGATGTGGGGAATCTTAAGATCCCACAAGTGCATACCATTGTCTTTATTTAAATTTTATGTAATTAAATTTGATGTTGTTGGAAATGTTGCAGTACATGTCATTTATACTATGTATATAAATCATGTTATATTTGGTCATTACACTGGATTCCTTGAAAAACTAGAAAAGATTAGAGAAGTACTGTTGTCATTAAGAGTGTTATAAATATTGGTCATCAGCTCAATTTGAAACGTTTAAGAGTATAGTCCATTTAGATATAATTAAAAATGACAAAGGTCACAAAGAGCCATTGGTTTTCACAAAGCTTTAATAATAAAGACATGTAGTCATTATTGCCAATTGGCCTCGATACAGATGGCTAAAATGAATGATATATTTGAATTCAACTATTTTCCAAAGGGCAGCACAATTATGATAATAATGCTTTGCAAAATCAACAAAAAGCCTTTAGTCTTTTGATGACCTAGGGTAGAATATTGCAAAAATGTATGTTTTCAAATTTCTTATCTAACCAGATTCAATATGCATTTATTAAACAATGTTTAATTTTTCAGGCAATCAAAATGTATCAAATTTGCTCGATTGGGGTTGCAATTGGCAGGCATTATTCCAATGAAAAATTCTTATAACCATTTTTTCAGTTTTAAACTTCTTTCTTTCAATGGAAAACTTACTATGCTTGTGTGCGGTATCATTTCATTCATGTTTGCCATTCAGTCTGAGTTGACAAAATCATTCACAGCATGGGCCATTTTCTCTGTGTCAGTGCAACTTGTGCTGAAGCAATACACAACTCACAAAAATGATTTTGCAAAAATGCTTGATGATGCCGACCGACTTTTGGAAAGTGTCTTGACAGACCAAAAGGCACGTGAAATTTTTGAGCCCATGGATTCAATAAGAATTAAGTTCTGTAAAGTCTTTGTTTATTCTTTGTTATGTTACATGCCACTTAATTTTTTTTCCAATGTACTTGACTACTTTTCTGGCAGACCGCTTAGAAATCCTTTCCAGTTGTGGACACCATTCAGTTCTATTTTATTGTCATTCGTCTTTCATTCATACATTTTATCAATGGCAATAATCACTGAAAGTTCTTATCTTAACAGCATTGCTAGTGTTTCCTTACATGTTGTAAGCTGCTTAAAAATTCTTTCTCACCGTTTGAGCAAGCAGCCACAGTTTATTTCTAAAAAAGTCGAGAGGGAGACTATAAAAATTCATTCAGATGTAATTCAGTGAGTTATTAACCAGCCAAACATTATATACAATTAAAAATCTATTATTAATTTTTATTTGTTTTCTCAGGTTAGTGGCATTGATGAATAAAAATTATGGAGCAATGATAACACTAGAGATATTAAGTGCTTCTCTTCAGGCATGTTTCACAGGATATCAAATCTTGGTTGTAAGTTAAGAGCATAACTTTTAATGAACATATTTTCAGTCACTTTTTAAAAGAATGCTTTAAAAATTGTAATACTATGTATTCAGCTTGTTTGTGTTATCAACTACAAACTTGTTCTAAGTAAATAGTAGGTAATTTGATTAAGACTGATTATTTTGGCCTGCCTATATTTTCAGTGTTGATTGGCAAAGATTGTGAAATGCCAAAATGTGTCTGACTCCCCAGATCAGCAAGAATAGGATGAAAAATGATCAGTAATGGCCAAATTACAAGTTCATTTCCCCACATGGACCACATGGAAAAAGCGTACAATTTAGTAGAAAGATTGGTCATTAATGTATATGCCATACAGAACCACAGTTTGTTTAGATTATAACTTTTGTAGTTTTATCTCTTAATTTTTCTCATTTTACATTACAAATATTCTTCTTCCTTATTCTCTTTTATTTCTTGGGTTGAGAAGGGTTTTGAACTTTGATTGAAAGGTCAATTAAATTATTTTGTTACTAAAATTTCATCATTTTGAAATGAGTGAATAAATGTCAATTCACTGGGTTACCATGTTATGCATTTTAAGGTTATTGTATCCCCTTTTATGTACAATATCTATAGTTAGTGATTGTTTGGAAATTGTGAGATGCGGTTTGATGTGACGTAGGTTTCAGAAAAACATTTTCTTTATCGGGCCAAACATTGTTTAAATTTAACAAATACATGTAGGATGTGGAGAAAAGTAAATTTATACAATGCAAAAAAAAAATTATATTCAATCAAAGTATTTCTACTCACTCAAAGTATTTTTTGGCATTGTATAAATTCACTTTTTCCCATATCCTACAAGTATTTAAACAATGTTTGTAAATCCCATGCCCTGAAGATGATCTCAATAAAGATCGACACGGCACGACAAAGAAAATGTTTTTCTGAAACCTACCGACCGCATCTCATGATTTCCAAATAATCATAGACTAACGGTCACTAATCACCACACATTTCTATAGTTAGTCTTAATTCAATTTTTGTAACTCCTCTTTAGGAGGGTGGTTCTACTATTTTAAAAAATATGCTGTAACAACCCCTACTCTCTTACCAGCTTTTGTTATTTGTATTTTGACTGGGGCTAGATCTTTATAATAATTGTATACTATTAAATGAAGTTTTACTAATTACTATTTTTTCACGATTTATATTTGCAGGGTCTTGAAAATTTGGATTCAAATCTTCTGGTTTTTTTTGTTGTCTTTATATTTATTTGGGAGTTACCTTTTATTATATGCTATTGCGGCCAGGAGATAGAAACAGAGGTGAGGATTGTATCAGATTTGTTTTCATAAGAAGTCTAATGCTTTTTTATGAACAGAGTGAAACTATACTCAGAGCGCTGTATCAGAACTTGTGGCATCAAAGAAGTCCAGAAAACAGGAAAACTGTATTTTTCCAAATGTTGATGATGTCAAAGCCCCTGAAGTTACATTTTCGAAATTTCATTGTGTTTAACTTTGCACAACTTGGAGGGGTAAGATTATTATTATCTTAAGATAATCAATTTTCTATTAATATTACTATCATTTAACACTTGCTGACTAAAAAATAAACTAAAACATCTTTATTATTGCAGGTGTTACAATCAGCATACACAGCAATGGCCATGATGCGATTGTTATTTATTTGAATCGTCATTACAATTTGTATTGTTAAATTATAAAATAATTTTAAGTTACAGCACTGAAAATTATCTTACTAACATCTTAAAACAGTCTTGTTTCCACAGACAAGCAGCACGGTGAAAGAAGATTTATGGATTTATAGATGCTAAGGCACTTGTCTTTTCTGTGTTTAATTGATGCAGTCATGTTACAGAACCACGGGAAACTGTAGCAAGAGAGGCAGTTTATTACCCTAAAATAAAATGTAATGTAAAAAAGCAAAATGTTGTATGTTCTATTTTCAACCCTAACTATTTATTGTTTATTAAAACTACTAAAATAGTACTAAAGCATACAGATTAAGTCCGATAAATTAGATTAAAGTCAAATTTAATCACCAACACAGCTCTTTGCTACGCTAAACCTGCACGACCGATGTGGGGTTCAAGCCCCTTGATAAGAAGAAGCTTCCAGCCCTAAAATCTTTAGAGGCTCCCCAGACTCAGTGATGAATTACTTCGTTCTTGTGTGTGTGTTTTTTTTTTCATTTTAAGAACTTAGCTGGACACTCACTGCATCTATTTATTGGCCTGAGGTTGTACCTTGTAAATGTGTAGTAGTATGCCTCGATAGACAATGGACGACACCTCCCACACTGTTCCCAATTGCCAAAAAAGGGGACATACCTACCTGTTTAATGCCACAATTAGAATGGATTATTTTCCCAGCATCTGGATATTTGCAGATGTCATTATGTTAAAAAAAACAAAAAAAACGGGCAAACCTGTAAATGAGGTCAAATCATATAGACCAATATCGCTATAACCAGGCTATTTATTGGCCTGGTATCCAATGTGTACAGGACACCTCGTTAGTAAATGGATGACACCTCCCACACTCTTCCCATCTCATCCTCATCATAGCGAACCATTTTTTTATTCCTTCTGTTCACAATCTGGTCTGTCTCTCAAACTTTTGTGAAATTGCAACACATCAGTTTTCTGGAAAGCCATTCAGGCACCATATCTCTATCCCATTGGGAATGACCTACTTTCATCTAGCTTTCACCCCCTGCTCTTCCAACCATCTATCCTTCTCCCTATTTTCTTTCTAACTTTTTGCCTCTTGTCTGACAAATGCTCTCAGTTTAATTTTACATTGTTTAGGTACACAGTAATTTTCCGAATCCTTTTAAGTTTTGGTGTCTTTATTTATATTTATTTATTTTTTTATATATTAATTTTTCAATGCTACTCATGTATATGCATGTACATATGTGTACCGAGTTGAGCTAAGTTTAAAAAAAATCAGTATTTATTTTGTATTATTATTATTAGTAGTATTGTTGTTTTTGTTTATTATTCTCTCTCCTTTTCAGCTCCTGACCTAATCTCAATCACATGAATCTAAGAGGACCAAAATGCCATCAGCTGTCACCTGGACATTTAACATGGATCTCTCAGTAGGTTGACACACAGGCACCTACTTTTGGGCCAAAGCAAGGAGAGAAAGGTGGCTCAATGTGTCCCACATAATAGAGGCATGCCATGCCTTGACTCCATACAGAGTGTGTAGGCATGCCCCAGATTTAAAAATGGTTCTCGTGCACAGCAGTCGGTTTCTGGGTCTGTTTTTCGGGTGTTTCACTGAATATTGTTATATTCTATGTATTTTGTTTCAGTCTGTATTTATTAGTGTGAGTAGTGAGAGGTAATGGTGAAATATAGCGTCTCCATCACCCTCCAGTAGACCATGCTTTGGGTCAATGGCAAAATAGTTATGAAAGTACCTCATATACCCTAATTTAGGTTAGATTATTAATACTGTGTGTAGGTCGATGGAGGGATATTCAGTTCTCCATCAGCTAATCAGAATGAGGAATGTATTTATTTGTACGACTGATTTATCCAATTTAAGTGGAATTAGGCTAGGTTATAGTTTGCCTACATCGGAGCTTAACCAAATTGCTAGGGAAGCGACGATCTCCTAACCATTTGTCTTTATGGGGATACTAGCCACCAAACCACAGATGGAGAGGGTGAACTGTCCGATGTATAGACACTAAAGACAGCTCATTGGGGAGTGACAACCTTTAGAGGTGAAAATTCGCACGATAATGGTCATACCTACCTTCTAATCCCTGGTTCTAATAATAAATCAATAATAAATCTTGAACAAAAGGATCTTCAGTGAGGTCACAACAGAAACGACAATTCTTTAAGTTTTTGCCGAGCTTTCAACGATTATCGAACTGATAATTCGATTGTTATTTATTTTAAGAAAAAGATACATGTACTTATAGTTATGCGTAACCGAGGTAACCTAAAGGACCACATTGTGGTTTTAAATAATTTTTAAATTTTTATATTATATTGTTTTATTATTTTTAATTAACTCCATACTGTTCATTGTTTAGGTATGAGCTTCACCTAATTTTAATTAATCTTTTTTAATCTTTTAATTAATGCAGTTTCTTGCTCTCCAGATATATTTCAACACTCATTGAGTTAAAGTAAGATAAATAATTGGTTTTTTGTATTTTTTTTAAATGATATAACATGTTCTAACTGCGATATTTTCCTAAAATAAATAGGTCCTGATGATGATGATATAATCGTTGAAAGCTCGGCAAAAAATTAAATAATTGTCGTTTCTGTTGTGACCTCACTGAAGATCCTTTTGTTCAAGTTGTTCAACAAGCAGGTCGATACATCATCTCATCTTTGATAATAAATCTAATAATAAAGGTTCTAATAATAAAACAAATAATTTTTAGTAAATGTATTCAGTTTTGTTTTTAGCCATGAAAGCTACATAATTACATTGTAAATTTGTTCAACAAAGATTAGCAATAGTTGAGTTCTGTATTTTGTCTTACATTGTAGCTGCTGAGGGCTAACTTTTAATTTTGTTCCAATCTCTTTTTCTCCAAGCGACAACGCCTATATATCATGCAATTATTATTAAAACAACACATCATTTCTGACACTCTACAGTACATCTATGACATTACCATTACAAAGTGCTTGTCAACTAATGTCAATTGGAATATCATCCCAATAATATCTATGGCCTAGTTGGAAATTTTTGTAAATTAATTTTCCAAATGGCCTCAAGAGCAGCCAAGTTGTGATTGAACATACCGAGACATGTATAAAGGTGTTTTCTTAAAACTCATCTAAATTATACCCAAACCATAGATGGAACCATAATTCAAAGTATAAAATTAAGAAAATAATTAATTTAGAAAAGCAATAATAATTCATAAAGCATATAAAAGTCAAACAACACAACAATATAAAAAATAAATTAACATCGAAATAAAAAAATATTGCACATTATAAACCATCAAAGATCGAAACAGTTGCCAATTAAGCAACAGTGATATTGAAGGCATGCTTACAAATAAAATTTAGCGCATTTAACACAAATGACAAAACCATAAATAAAAGTCCTAAGAATTTAGTGTAAATAAGTGACTGGGCTAAACCTTGCTAGCCCGTCATTATCTTTGTGATTATTTTGACAATTCTAACGTTTGCTTTCTAAAAAGAAAAAAGACAAACGAAATGGATCTGTGGTGGGTGCCTTTCTCAGAAGCTAATCATACGTGTTATCATGCTTTCCAATGAACAATAAATGAAAAAAATATTTGGTTTTACTTTTTAAAGTTAATTATACAGGTAAGAACAATAATAATCAATAAAAGTTAATTACATAGAATCAAATAAATTCTGATAAGTTTTTTGCTTATTACAATTTAAGTTTTTGAATTTTAAATAGAAAATGATAACATCGTGTGAATAGCTACAAATTATCGTTCTTATAAACCTGCTCTTGTCAAAATCTAACATTTAATCCCCTACTTATTCCCCTATTTTATTGAATTTTATTTATTTGCCTGTAAATGTTGTACAAAATTTTTATTGGTAACTTCATATCTGAAAGCAAATCCAATGTGTATTTACATATTTTAGGTGATCTAAAAAGACTAGTTTTGTTTCAGTTAAAAAAGTTAATTACAAATGTTTTGTTTCTTGTTTTATGATTTTTTTTTATTTGTCTCCCTGGTATTTAGTATTCATAGAATGTATGGATAATTTTTTCTAGGATTATCTTTTGTACTCTTCTTTTTTTAATGCAAAAAAGACATTTTTTTATATTTTGTTATTTAAAAATAAAATAAAATTCAAATGGGCAGTGTACAAGAAGAAACTGTCTACAAAATTGACTATATTTACAATTGTAACTATCTTTTAAAAAATCTCCAAATTTTTGAGCAAAAAAGGACGGTTCGTTTGATTTGTACTCCTGGCGCACTCATGGAAATTCTTTTCGTATTGTAGAAGTTTCCACTTTTTTACTGTTGAGGATTGTCAAATCAAAGTTTTTGGCACATGTAATTTATTCTCTTGGAAACTCCAACTTAAATTAGAAAAAAATAAATTAAATAAAAACCATTCTATTGGAAATAAATCAAAATTTCTTTTTTATGTGTGCATATAATGTACTACAACATACATATTTTATATGTATATTCAGTATTTAGTGTGTGAGTATTAATAAATTATTCTGTGCGGATTGTGTTATATTTTTGTATTTAATACTGTATATGTAGGTTTATTATGTGATGAAGTATTGATATATATAATATGTATTATTTATAATACAAAGTTTTATTTAATATCATATTAAATGTCTGAAGAAAATTTTGGATTTGTATCAATAAAAAAAAAGACAACAATCAGTCATTGATGGAATTTTTAAGTTATGAATATGTTTACAGACAATTTTCATTCTTAATCTGGTAACTTAAAGTGTTACATAATGATTGAAAGATTTAGTACCAACAGCAATAATTTTCCAATAAAACTTAATGGCAGTAACAAAAGAGTGAAGAACCTCACTTTTAAAGATATTTCCATGAGTAAGTCAAGACACAAATATACCATTTAAGCTCAAACAACTTCTCTTTGGAAGAGCATGATTGCCCTACCTGAGAGTAATCAATGTACCATGGTAGTCAAGTTACAACCATTTGCACAGTTTTATTTTCTAGACGAGTGAGGTGGCGGAAGAGCTATTGGCTGACCACTTGAGTGAAGTGTTGTATCCAGTTTTCTTGCCTCGTTCTCGAGCAGGTACGAATCAAGAGCAGGGTCTTGAGAAACATTGCGCAGTGAGTTGCCCAAAACATGATGTAGCTGCTGCACCTCTCTGCCTGTTCTGCCGCTTCTTAAAATAAACATCTGTCGTCTCTTCACCTCCTGGTTTAACTGCTCCCTCAACATCTTTACCTGCAAGAAGTGAAACAATAAAATATATATGATAAATAAGTTTAATTTTCACTTCACGAACAACAGAACAAAGGAAACCACAATGTTATTAAGCTGTCAAAAAGCTGTATTTATTCTAAGTGAGAATTTACCTGATTTTCAAGCCTTAAAATCTGTTGTCGATGTGATTGTTCTCTTGCCTCCAACAATCTTTCTGCTTGAAGTTGAGCTGATCTATATCTTTCTATATCACCTGTCCATTCCTTATTTGAATTTCTTAAAAAAAAAAAAAATCCGTTTAATTTATGATTTCTTAAAAAAAGTGTAACATTACCTTGACATATCCAAAGTTGACTTTAACCTGTGCAATTCTGATTCTCTCTTAGCCAGTTCTGTTTCAAGCGATCTGATCCTTGCTTTAAGCTCAATATTTTCTTGTTCCAGTAAAAGGTTATTTGTACTACCGATCATACCGATACTATCTCCACCTCCACCTATATCCCACTCACGAGAGCCTTTTTCTCCCCTTTCATAACTTTTGGAACGGCTCGACTGTAGTTTTCTTTCTAAGCTACGCTTCTCCGACTCCAAGTGCCTAACCTTGTCCTGTAGAGAATCTATCTTCATAACAAGTTCATTGGCTTGTCGTTTGAGTTCTTCTGACTCGTTAGGCCAGGCCTGCATCCTTAGTTGAGCTTCAAGTGCGGATTTTTCCACTTCGCTGGTCGAAAGCTCTGCTTGAAGCCTTGCATGTGCTTCTTTGATCACTGCATAATTTCTTCGCAACTTAATAAAACAAATAATGAATTAAAATCCATAATTCAAACCAAAACATTTTATATAACATAGTCTAAAAAAATACCTCTGCAAGATTGGCTTGAGATGCTTCTAAACGTTCCACTGCAACCTTTTTTTCATTTTCAGCATTATAAACTGCCTTTTGAAGAGATTTCAACTTCTCAGCATTATTTTGAGAAGTATTAGAAACTTCAGTAAGTGACTTTTGAAGGCTGGCGAGTTCTGATTGAAGTTCAACTTCTGTTTGGGAAGATCTTTCAAGAGTTTGGTTCAACCTCTCTACTGTAGTCTTTAGAGAAGTACACCTTTCTTCCAACTCTGACACAGTGGCACTTTCAGTTTCTAGCCTATCTTGTAGTTTCTAAAATTTAATTTTTGATAATAAATTAATTTTTGTATTTAACAAAAAGATTAGTTACTTGAATTGCTGCATCTTTCTCCTGCATTACTATTTGAAGCCTTTGAATGTCACCTTCCATTCCCATTCTCTGAAGTTCAAGTTTTGTCGCCCTCGCTTCACATTTTGAGAGTTCATCTTGAAGAGATCTTTTATCTGCATCAGTCTTTGCCAATGTTTGCCTTATCTGAAACAAACCTTGGATAGAGAGATCAGATACAAAATTACAATTCAACTTATCACCTTCTCAAGTTTGTCTTCACATAGGGCTTTTTCTTCTGTTATGTTCTTTAGAGCCATTTCAACTGTTGTAAGTTTCTCTTGCAGATGATGGCCTTCTTCAGTTTTACTCTGCATTGCTTCAGTCTGTGACTGTAAGGCTGCAGTTTTTTGACCAAGCCTTGCTTCTAAAGAGCCTTTTTCTTCTTGAACCTATTCCACACATATCAAATATCATATAAAAATGAATGTGAGGTGGGGTTTGAATTGCCCTTTTTGTAAATTATATTGGAATGGATCAGTGTGAGGGTGTGACTGAAATCTACAATTGCCAAGCTTTCAAATGTATCATCGTCAGAGCCTGTCTATTATTATTATAACAATAAAACTAAAATTATAGCAATGCCTCTGGCAATAAACTAAAACCTTTGGAGTAAATAAAATGATAACTTACAAGATTGAATTATTTAATAATTTATTGTTTAGGAAGATGTGGTTAAAACTGAAATGGATAAAATTAACGCACCACCCTTAAATTTTACTGTATTAGGTTGATTCATATACCAAAAATAGGTTTGGTTGTAAAATTATGCATTTAAAAAGAAAATATTAATTACTTAATTCTAGAAAAACAATTATTGAGTAAAGAACAAACAAAATATTAAAAAGACCTTTTTTGTCCTTTCATACTGGGTTACTTCTGGCATGAATAACGTTCGTTAAACGCCTTTGTATTCCTTGGAAAACATTTCTTATAAAATTCTGAGGAATCTTTCACAGCGTTTCCAACTCTTCTAGGGTGTTAAGACAAGGCTGTCGTACTTGTCACTTAAGTTGGTCCTGAACGTATTCGATTGGGTTCAAATCTGGGCTTCAATTTAGCCACACAATTCAATCACTCAATTCCAACCTCATTTGGGTAGTTATCCACAATATGTGCTCATTGGGTCTGGATTATCCTGCATTACCAAGAAACTCTCAAATGGTACTACATGTTCTTCGATTATGTCTTGTAAATACCTCTGTGAGGTTAGAGATCTTCCTTGTACAACAACCAATTCGGTGCAAGCGTTCAACAAAATACCACCCCAGAACATTACCCATCATGGAACCCCAGCATACAGCATAGAGCATTCGTCCTCAACCTTCCAATGTCCAATTCACATATTCACCTGCGAATTGAAGCCTAGCCATTTTTTGAGCTGTAGTAAAAAAAGGTTCAAAAGCTGAGTGCCGGGCCCTAAGGCTATTTTCATTGAATGTTCTTTTTACAGGCCTAGAGGAAATCGAAACTTTCTGGACTTGTCTTATCAAATTTCTTATCTCATTTCCATAATCCTGCAGTCATGAAGAGCGATGATGTATGGTGATTAGTGATCGTTAGTCTATGATTATTTAGAAATCGGAAATTTTCGATCGCAGCTCAATCAAATTCAACATCAATAACATACATCATCACATCACACAAAACATATAATATAACATATAAAACATGCATCACATTCCACACATCCAACATTTTTACATAGTCCAATTTTTCAACAATTTAGCTTTCCTTTTCCTAACTATCCCCATCTATATAATCCTGAAAGGATAATCCAGCTGAGCCATTACCAACTTTTTTTCCCATCGTCAGCTCTTTTCACCTCAAAGAAAACGACAAAAATGTCTTCCTTCCCCACCCCTTCAAAATCCAACGTATATAAACATAAAACAGCAATATCTCACTGGCACTCTCAACACAGAAAACAAAACTTTGAGTGAGTAGAAATACTTTGATTGAATATAAAAAATATATTTTGCATTGTATAAATTCACTTTTTTCCACATCCTATATATATTTGTTAAATTTAAACAATATCTGTAAATCCCAGGCCCTGAAGATGATCTCAATAAAGATCGAAACGTTGGCACGATAAAGAAAATCTTTTTCTGAAACCTGTCACACCACACCGCATCTCATGATTTCCGAATAAGCCTGATGATGGACGAATTCATCGTCTCTTTTGTCTGTAGATCTAGATCAACCCTGTCCTGACCTTCTAGTGTGAAGAACTGTTTCTCTGAAGTGCCATAAAACCATTCCTATTGTAGAGAGATTTATACTCAGTCTCCTGGTGACTTCACGCTGGCTGTACCCTTCCTTTAATAATGTTATGATCCTGACTGTCTTACTTATTCAAATGTCTGGCTGGAGCCATTGAAAAAGTTTTATGAATAAGAATAATATCAAATGAAATCAACGAAAGAAAAAGATTAACTGAAAGCAATCTTTAGGCATAGCAAAATGGAAGAGCATAATTCTAATTTTTGTGCACATGGGATTAATCTGTACAAAAGTATATAAAGGAAATAAACAAAGCATTATTTACTGTTTATTTTAACTATGATAGCCCCTAATTACCTGTAACTAATGTAGAAAGATAATGGATTTAATTTTAAGCTAAATAAATTAAGTGGTGTGTTAAATTTGCTAATCATTGTATATAAGAAGATTCAACTCTCATTGCCTAAAATTAAATAGTACACTAAAATACAATGTTAGTTGTGTAGTTTACTTATGGAAAAACAGCTCAATTAATTTAAAACAAAAATTATTATAACAGGCTTTTAATATAGCTTCTGAATTTGTTCAGTTGAATCTCTAACTGATCCAGTCCAACATAATATAAAACTTGTGACTAAATAATGTTACCTGTCTTAAAAGCTGAATAGTAGATTTTAATTTAGCATCAGATTTAGAGAGATCTTCATTCTGGGCTCTGATATGCTTCTTAAAGTCACTCAAATTGGCCTTCAGGTCATCTCGTTCCCTTTCAATTTGAGCTACTTGATGCATTAATGTCCTAACACCTTTTCTTACCGCATCCGGATCAACTTCTAACAAGATATTGTCACCTGCCCTTGAGCCATCACCATGATCCTGGCCGTGAGACTGAGCCTGTGATCTGACAGGACTCCACCTTCTTGTCGGAGATAGAAGCTTATAAGGAAGATTAACACTCCCGTCAAGCTGAATGCCTGCTATTCGGCGCAGTGTGGACCCTACTGAACTTAACTTTTGTTCAACTTCACGTTTGCTGCCTTCCAGGTGGACAAGCTGTGCGTCCAATGCTCTCACTCTGCCTTCAGATCCTCCAAGTCTTGCCTATGACAAAAAAAATTTATTTTTAACTTAAAACTAAAAATAAATTGAAGAATGCAAATGACCTTAAGTTCTTGTATCTGCTGGGTTGCATCAGTAAGACAAACTTCAAGATTGTGGCTTGTGTCTTGGAGCTTCCTTTCATTTGCTCTACTCTCTTCTAACCTCATTAATAGCTCTTCTTCTCTTTCTCTGAAACGCCTTTCTTCATCATCCCCCTTACTTCTGTTCTTTGCTGCTTCTTCTCTGGCATTGTCAAGTGAATTTTCCAATTCCATAACCTTTGGTAAAGATAAGAGTTAAAGAAACTTAAAAAAAAATATATTAAACTCTATATTACCTGTTTGGATAACTGATGAACTTGTTGCTTAGCTCTATCTCGTTCTTCAGCTTGACTGGACAACCTTGCCTGAAGTTGCCTCTCTTCAGAAATCTTTTGGTTAATAAGGTCCTTTGCTTTTGTCAGCTCATCCCCAGCGCCACTGGCTTGTTGCTTTGTCTCAAGAAGACTCTTGTCCAGTTCCCTAACCATTCCTTGAAGCCTTGCTCTTTCATTTTCTAGATTTCTTCTTGCCTCATCAATTGCTATTAATTTAAATTTAATTAATATCTTATACAACACTGTGAAGAAATTTTTTTACACATACTTGTTATTTTACTTAAAGCCTCCTCGAGGGCCCTCGCTTGCTCTCTCTTCTGTCCTTCAGCCCTTTTCACATGTTCCCTAAGTTCTTTATTTGAAGCACTGTACTTTTCTTTTTCAAAAGACGCATCTGCAAGGTTTCTTCTCACATCTGTCAATTCTTTTAGAAGACCATCTCGTACATTTTCCACTATAAAACAGTAAAATATATATGTAAAACTAATTGTCAATAAAAAGTATTTCTAACCATCTTTTAATCTGTGAGTTGTTTCATTCAACTGAGATGTTAAGGAATCGAGTTTATCTTCAGTAAGGTGAAGTTGAAGTTTGATATCTTCACTGTGCTGTACTTCAGCATCTCGTTCCTTGCAAACTTCAGAAAGTTTTGCTTCCAGAGATGCCTTTTCTTCTTCAGCTCTTGTCCTGAAATTCAATGGATTAAATCTGCCATGCCATTGTGTAGTACTGTCTATTACCTTAATTGCTCAAGCCTTGCATTTGTTGAATTGACACTGTCTCTTAATGAATTAATTGTTGCACGGTCTTGCTCTCCTCTAACTGCTGCATCTCTTCTATTTCTTTCATTAGCCACTCTAAATCATTAAGGTAAAATTTCCAATAGTGTAAAAATAATCATCACTTATTAATCAATGTTATTTGTACTAGATACTTTGTATTACACTATATAAACAAAAAGCACTTTGTGACTGAAATTTTAAAATAACAGCTTACCGTTCTGCTTCTATTTCTCTTCTTGCCTCTTCAAGTTTTTCAAAAATCACTTGATGATCTTGTTGAGCTGTAGAAAATTGAATTTTAGAACAAAATTAACAATACAAGAAAGAAAAAAAAAGGATTTTGGTTTACCAAGAAGAAGTGCTTGTTGCTTGTCACTTTCAGCCCTTAGCAGAACTTCTTCATGCTGCTGGCAAACGTTCTCAATTTGCTGTTGCAATCCAGAAATTCTTTCTTCAAGCTGCCTAATCTCAGAATCTTTCTCCATTGTTAAACCTTCGATTGTAGTTGCTAACTTTTTCTCCAAGGCAATCCTCAGTTGTTCCTGAAATTGAATAAAATTGTTATAATCCATTGTTACAAGTTTTTTTTCAGTAGTCTTACTTTTTCCTCTGTGAGTTTATGGATAGTTTCATCATTTTTCTTCTTGAGGTTCGATATTGTCTGTTTAAATTCCCCTTCCTTCGAGCCTGCCTGTTGGAGAAGCATCTGCTTTGTTTCTTGAGCTCTTTTTTCATTACTCTCCAAATCTGATTTGAGTTTAGCAATCTCCCCTTTTAGAGATTCCTGCAATAAAGCACGTCGTAATTTCTCCTCTTTCATCTTCACCATAACAAATCGAAAAATCGAGAGGACGTATAATTTTATTTTAATAGGAACCATTTGTTCCTTGTAAAAAGTTTTAGTTATCATTGAAATTTAGTTCAATCAGTATGACATTTCGACATTTCAGATAAATTACATGAAAGTTTAATAAGTCGAACAAATAATTCTTGTGAATGATAAATATAAAAAAGTAGTTATTTCTCAGAGTGTTGAACATGTGAAGGAAGAGAGAGAACTAAATGTATTTTGAATGAAAGGAAGTAGTATGCTTGAATGTGGGCATTGCTCCGTGGTGGTGGTTGGGACCATTATAGTTGTACCATGAGGGAATGTCTCCTGTTTTCTCCCAAATATATTTTTACATCTATTTCATGTCACACACCTATTTTAACTGTATGATTATGCCATCATTTAGCATGAATGATAATGCTACATTTTTTCATGACTAACCTCATGGACCAATAATTCCTGATGATCTTTCTCAAGCTGGGCCCTCTTTGCTTCAAGGTTTTCGATGTTAGCTTGGCTGTCGAACAGCGTCGCTTCCAAAGCTTCCTTATCTGCTCTCATGGATGCAATTTGTTCTTGGAGACGCTGGATTTCCTTTTCATTGCCTTCAAGCATTACCTGTTTGTTTTCACAGTCTTTAACTAGGTCTTCCAAACTGCGATTAATGCGAGAATTAGTTTCATTGACTTGTTCCAGTCGTTGCTTAATTCTGCTCAGTTCCTCATTTAAGGCCTCCCTCTTTCGCCCAGCCATGGAAAGTTGATTACTCAGCTCACACCGTTCTCTGCATGCTTGACTCAACTCTAACTCAACCTTAAAAAATTCAACTTTTAAAATGCCGACAAACTCAAAGTATTGTAAACAACCTTCTCTTTTTCCATTTCCAAAAATTTACACTTCTCATGGAGTGAGATTTTCTCTGAGTCAAGATCAAGCCTAGACTGCTCAGCTTGAAGGATCTCTTTTCTGAGTGAAGACAAGTCATTGTTTTGATCTTGAACTTGGTTTTGCAAAGAGATTTTATCATCTTGCAGCTATCAAAAAATATATTTTTTTATTTGTGTAAAAAAATACATAAATAAATACAAAATGTATAAACACAACTAAACAGAACTCACTCGTTTTATTTCATCTTGCAGTTTTTTCTTATCAGCTTCAAGGGAGGCAGCAACAGCTTCAGCTTTGGCCAGGGATTCATGCATATCAGATTTTTCCAATAATACCTGTTCCAACTCGAGTTCAACATCCCCTGTGGACAAATCAAGTTAGGGAAATGACAAGGACGTTCACTCAGACAAATTACCCCTTGTTTTGTCAATTTGAGAAAGCAAGCTGTCCGTTTCAGTCTTCTGTTGCTCGAGCAGGTCTTTGGCCAGGTAGGCTTTGTTCAGTTCTTCCCTGAGGGTAAGTATTTCTTCTTTCAATCGGCTACACCTGTCCTCCTCACTTCGAAGATTCATTTCTCTACAAAACACGTATTTTTTATGAACAAATATTAAACCAATTTTATGAAAAATTTTAACAACCTTGTAAAAATTACATACACAGTAATGATTAGTTTCTGGCTTCATTAAGTAAAATAATATTTTGTATTGGACAATTTTACATTGGTATAATGAAAAAAGTAAATACAACCTCCATTTCAACCTAACTGATTAAAAAGATATTTTGAGTTCTTTCTATATTAATTTTTTAAAAACTGGATCTGGAAAAATAAAATTGTGGGAAGATGACTTGATTTTTTAAAATAATATTTTTATTAATTTGTTGAAGTAGTGAGGAGCGGTCAGATTGACAACGGTGGGGGATTAGTTTTTGGTGCTTTACAGTCATAGATGTGTAGATGTGGTTTTTCCATTTTTACAGATATTGCGATATAATTCCAATGTATGCAGCTAAACAGTTCATACAATTAATTTTATAAATTACATTGGATATGGAAGTTGTTGGTGTTGGGTGTTAAACTTTGGAAAAAGTGTGTGTACTGTTAAGGCTATGTTAATGTGGTCTGAGGAGAAAAATGTACTTCATTTGTGTGAGACTGTGTGAACAAATGGAAGGGACATGTATATTGGTTTGTCTTTGTGGCAATTGGGTTGGTTATATGTTGCGTACTGTGGAGGATATTGTTTTGTGTAGTGTTGGTTGTAATTGTTTATATATTTACTCAATTAATTACACACAATTTTTTCAAAATGATAAATTTGTGTTATAGGCATGATTCAAACCCACAATTTTTGGCTAAATACGCTGCTGTCTACCACTTGAGCTATTGTGACTTCATTTGCCCATGTAACGAACTACTCATTTCAATTCCCCATTTATTCCAATTGGAAAGGTGAAAAAGCTCAAAAGCTGGGTTCCTCTTGCATTAAACGACCATCAAAACATTCATCAACATAAGTTTGTGCAACACTTTTTTGCTGAAACAGAAACTTTTCAGGATATTTATGACATTTGGCCTCATCCTCCCTATTCTCCAACCTCTTGCTTAACAACTCCTAATTTTTCAGCACGTTGCTGTTTAGTGTTCTCAATGTATTTGGTGGGAAAAGGTAACATGAAAGGTAGTTGTACAATAACAGTGTTGAGAATTGTGTCATTACTATATCTGCTAGTAAAGGGCCTAGATTGCTGCCCATGGCTATGCCAAAAGTTGTTTGTAGAAATGATTATATGTACAATGTGGAGCAACATTGTAACTTTGTTATGGAGAAAGATTTATGTTTTGCCGTTTGTCTTTGATAATGTTTTATTAATTTGATAAGTGTTAAGTCTATTGGGATGTTTGTAAAAAGCAATGAGACATCTAGAGATATAAGTATGTAGTTTGTGGGTTTGATAATTTGGTTTATTGTTTTTTTTTAAATGGTACGAGTCTTTTATGTTGTGTGTCTGCAATATTATTGAGCACGTTGGTGAAGTATTTTTGAAGGACTGAATGTCGGGGAATTTACAAAGGAAACTTATTGGTCTCAAAGAATATCTGGGTTTGTGGCTTTGACAGCTCCATACAATTTTTTTTTAGGGGGGGGGGTGATTTTTTCTGGAGAGATTTATACGTGTGCATTTATATTTCTATGTGTTGAAGTGTCTACTGAAGGATTTTATTGGTCTACTTGATGAGTGATGGAGTGGGATCAGATTTCAGTGTGTTATATGTGTTTGTGTATATAGTCATTTTTATTAATATATTTTCATTGTACTGTAGAATGGAGTTAAATTTATTCTATATTAACAATCCGATCAATGAAAATATGTACACGATTGTAAAATTATACCAATAACAACTGTGATAACAAAAACAATAAATAAATAATTTTTCTATTTAGCTAGGTGTTGTTTTATCTCTTATAGCTCATTAAGGATATGTGTTGGTCCTTAATATGTAAAACAGTAAAAAAACTTATAAGAACTATTAGTCTTAAGAACAAGTTCTTAATATCTATTTTCTAAGAATGTTATAAAAATACCAATAACGACTCAAAAAAATATTTGGTGACAATTTTATGAATGATAAATAATACTATGAGCAATCGATCATAATAATGAGGTTCACTCACTGTTCTCACAACTAATTTTAATCAATTTAATTAAAGGGTATTGCAGAGTCAAGTTAAATATAATTTCTTTATAAATAATAAGATCAATATGATATTTCTATGCATATGTTTTGTTTAATTTAGTAATCATTTTTTGCAATATAATTATAAAATAACACAACATTAAAAATGTGTTTATTGAAGAAGAATGCATCTTTTAGAATTGAGGGAGCATTCATGATGGGAGTAAAAAGAATTACTTCTAAGAAATGTGATTTTCGATTTTGTTCTTTTATGATAGAGCTCTTTATGAACATGTTTTCCGTTAAGGAGTGATTGTGATTTAAGGTTAATCAATTTGTGCTTAGAAAACTTGGCCTTCAAAGGGATCAACTTGTGTTTCAACCTGCAAATGAATGGTGAGAAGAAAAAAAAGTAAATTGTTAAGGGTAAAGATTTACCTTAGATCAGAATCCTTTGTCATTCTATCGATTTCAGAGTGCAGGTATGTTTTTTCATCCTCAAGTGCTTCATTGTTCTTTTGAAGTCTGACATTTGCCTTTTGCAGTTTCTCAAAATCAGCACTCAGATTGTCAAGCTAAAAGAATCAATTTCATAAGATGGAACGGACAAATTAATTGCGGCTTAGTACCATTGCATTAATTTCCATCCTGTTTTTGTCCAGAGCATTCTTTTCAGCACGAGACGCTTCCAAAGACTTAGCCAAAAGTTCTTTTTCCTGATTCAACTGATTCGAGTGGATTTTACAAGTATCGAGTTGAGATGTCATTTCAGCAAGGCGATTTTCAAGGGCTTTTTGTGTATCTTCATAAGTCTCACACTGTCTTTTCCATGTTGAAGCTTGCTCTTTTGTACTAGCAAGTTTAACCTGAAAATTAATCAAACAGCATAAAATAAACCCATAAACAAATAAAGATATCATACTTGAAGTTCATGTATTAATAGCTGATATTTGTTAAGTGCAGCTTGTACAGCTGATATTGTGCTTTCAACAAATGCGGGTGATGTTGGGGTCCTTGCACACCTCTTGGGGGATCTGAAAAAAGGTTTACATTAGCAACAACATAATTTAAATAATATAATAACTTGGACCTTGGAGGCAAAGGTTGTGATGGAGTAAGATGTAATCTATGAGTTTCTCCATCACGTGCATCTGCATCTTGTAAAACTGCATGGGCAATATCTCTCATGGCAGATTGGAGAAGGTCAAGTTCAGTTTGCAGTTTAGCAACTTCACTGACAGTCGCTTCAGCAGCACTGCATCTTTCTTCCTGGTTTGCACCCAAACAACCAATTAAAATAAATAATTTGATGATTGTGTATTACAAAGTAAAAGTGGATTACAAGATTTCTACAGTCTTTGTTTAAAGATTGAATTCTCTCTTCCTTAGACCTGACTTCTAGCTGGACAACTTCTTTCTCTGCTTTCAATTGTGCTAAAGTTTCACGAAGTGCATTAAGTTCAACTTCCATTTGTTGTCTTGCTTCTTCCTAAAAACATCACAACATTTATCCATCTTTATCTTTGATATGATTTATGAAATTACAGTTATGACTTATAAAATTACATCAACAGCAGAAGATCTGATGTGTTTGATTTGCAAACCACTGGAAGCATCAATGAGATCTCTGGAAGCACTAGAAAGCTCTGACTTCATCTTTGATAGGTCTCGATGGGTTGCAGTTTGCATTTCAGTGAATTGCCTCTTCATATTTACGACATCTCTCCAAAGACCCAAAAGGCGTGAATGTTCATTCGAATAATAATCATTGAAACACTAAAAATTTCAGTTTAAAACAAATACAAATAAGATTGTTAAATGTTTAAACAATACTTGTTCTTCTTCTTTCCATTCATCTTCCTTCATAATCATCTCCTCTCTCATTACTTCCCAGTCACTAGTGAGCTTCTGCATATCAGCTATTAGAGTCTCATTACTCTCTTGTGCTTCTTCAAGTTGTTGACGGAGTGATGAATTTAGCTGATACATTTTTTCAAGCCTGAAAATGAAATTGTGATTGTATTTAAATAAAGTTTATTTAAAAATAAAACCAACTTACTTTCTTCTTTCTTCATTTAAGGCTCTAATGGCTGAGTCTAAGTCTTGAACACGGTCGTCTCTCAGCTCTCTAAGGTGTTGCTGGGCAGCTTCTAGCGCAGATCCGGATGCTCCCATAACAGGAGGTCTTTCTACCATATCTTCCATCTGGCTTTCCAATTCCATGCATCGTTTCTTGTACTGCAGCAGCTGCCATTGAAAAAGTGAATAGTTACTTGTTTTACTTTAAGTATGATTCAAATGGATATACCTTAGCCTGCAGCTTGCTTGTAAGTGCAGCTTGCTGTTGCTGAGCCTGTTTATGTAGCTCGAGCATTCTCCTATAACCTGAGGCTGTGTCTTCATCTCTTCTCCTCCCAAGTTCACCACTGCGCATTCCAAACTCCGGGGAGTCATCATCTGCGATGGACCCCCCTGACCTTGATGCACCGTCCATCCGGCTACGCCCAGGCTTAAAAATCATAAGAGTACAATTAGTTTGGATTTGTTTTATTTATAATTTTGAAACATACAGTTTCAGGTAAAACGAAATGAAGCTATTTTTTTGACAGATTATCCTTGAAGTGAAGATTGAATTGTGTGAATGCAGTTAGGGGTTTTTTTTTTTTAATTTTTCCCTAAAACTTGCACTAATATATATATATATATATATATATATTTAATTTATTGTTATAAGAATAATTGTGTACTTGAAAAAAGTATTGTTTATTACTGTAACCACAAAAATGTTATATTGTAAATATGTATCATTTTATATACCATACGAATAAATAAATAAATGATTATTTGAATGAATTTGATTGTTTCTATTCTGAGTCCAACACAACGAAGGTGAGTCCAACTTTCTTCCAGACCATCCATTCCTTAACATTAACAAAAGTTATCTGTAGCTATCATTATAAAAATATTTTTAAAAAATAGTTCTGTAAGTGAGGGGTGGTACATTTGAATATAACGTTATTACATAACAATATAATATAAAGTAATTATAATTATATATAATAATTAATATTATTGATATAATATAATAGAATAATAAAATATAATAAATAATATAGTTTTAAAAAAATCAATGAAATCACACACTTTATTTACATTATTTTTTATATTTTGTTTAATTTTTTCTTCAATCATACCTGAAAATCATAATCGTCCTCATAATCGCATTCAGTAAATTTAATGTCAAATTCCATTAGTGGCTACAAAATTTTCTTCTACCTTCTTTTCACCATTTCCTTTAGAAAGCCGGATTACGATTCGAAATATTGATCGGTGGATTAAGTAATTAATCAACTGAGTTAAATGAGATAACAGGACGAAGGAAGCTCAAGACTTAAGTTTAATGAGTCTATCGACTTATGGTTCTTGGTATCCAAGGATACACATAACGACGTCCATATGTCGTCCTTAAGTGGGGGACCAGCGGAAATCCTTTCTGTTTCTGACTTTTCTCTTTACAGGTAATAAAAATGCAAGCGTATTTTTTAATCCATTGTCGATTCGAATCCCGCTCGTGACATTGACTTTTTTATCTCAACCAAGACCTTACATAGAAAGAATAATTTATTTTTTAATTATGAACCCAAAGGCGAAAATAACTTTACAGGCGATCAGGACAGACGACCGACAAAACACGTGCGAGCGAATTGTCTAGTGAAGATATAAAAAAAATTTATGCTTAAAGACAAACTTAAAAGATTCGATTGTGCGGGGTTCCACCACAATCTGGCTCAAAAACACAATAAAAAAGTAAAATAACGAAACAAAATTTTTACTTCAAAAATGACAACTAAAGCCCCGAGAAAGCCTTCAACAATAATTAATATTGTGATTTTCTCCTTGCTCGAATTCGTGAGGATTTCAATGAACGAGCTTTATGCATGCTGTACCGTAGTAATCAGTTTCTGATATTCAACTAAAAAAAGGGTCGATTTCTGGGTAGTCTACTAACGTCGCGAGGCCAAAAAAAAAAAAAAAATGTATTATCATGTAACCGATTTTTTAAAAGACCTCTTGTCTTTTCTATTTATAATTTGTGGTTTTAAATAATTTCTTGGTTTTTTCTTTGATTTTTTTGGACGTTTGGCAATTTAAACCCATCATCAGCATCTTTTTTTTAATTTAAAATTTCCATTATATATAGTATTTTTATTTTCTTTATGTTAAAGATATATGACCAATTCACATTGACAAAAGATGGAATATTGGCTATATGGCTTATCTAAAAAAATTCATATTGTTGATGATGGGAAATAAAATAATTTTAGCTGCCATGGTGATGTATATCTCTACAAATTAACCCCCCCTCCCAAAAAAAAAAATGAAGATTATTAATATTCTTCAAATTATAACCAAGGATATCACACAAATTCCCCTTTACTACAAGGAGGCCTGTAAATGACTGTATCCAAGTCATATTCATTTTAGCTGCCATGGCGATGGGTTTTCTACAAATTAAACCCCCAAAAATATAATAATCACATTAATGATGGACCTTAATGTAAAATAGACTAGCTTTTGATTTTAGCATTTGTATTTTACAACAATTTATGAATTCTTTTAGATAAAACAATTATTAATGTGTGATGCTCCATGCTTTAGTCTATGTAGTATTCAAAGGCTGCTATTTATCCATCAGATGCCATTTTTTAATTTATGTATACCTAATAAATAGTAAACTTTTGTAAATTATAAATTTTTTAATGAGTTGTGACTGATGCTTCTACTTTTATACATCTTACATTAATATCCATATATTGAATTTACAAAGTTGACCATTGTTTATTAAGTAGTGGATTTCTCAGAATGGTATCATAAACCAAAAATATTTTGGATTGATTTTGTAAGATATTTTCCTTAAGGCTTAATGACATCCAACAAAATATAACAAATTAATTAATGGGAATAATTAAAGATAAAATAATCAGTTTCTGTGAAGTGACAATAATAAAAGGATGTTCACTATCCTTTATATAATTTATGTGTTTATATCATAAATTTTATGGTCCATATCCAGTTATTGAATGTGATGAGTGATGACTGACTGTTGGTCAGCAATATGAGCATATTATAGACAGAAAACAACATTTAAAACAAATACAGCATATATTACACATTTTATACATATATATAAGATAATGAGTTTGCGTAGTACGAGAACAAGTCCATTTATCCACCATATTACAAAGTATATCAACAAAATGCACAATTCTTATACTCCAAGATTTTCAGCGCAGCTATATTTCAAACAGAAAAAAATACTGTTTCTGGAATACCGATTCTGGAAAGGCAAACTTTAAAATATGAGTGCACAGACCATATCATATATTTCATCAATGTTTGTTGATCATCATAATATAACAAAAGTATCAACAAATACAAATTATAAAGTTTAATTATCAATAAAATGATTTTTATTTTAAATAAAATGGATCACGATAGGGATGGAGATGAAAAAGGTGATTAAAAAGCCTCTTGCCCCTCATTTAAAAAATATCTATTGTGCTTCAAATATCAAGTAACAGGGAATATAATGTTTCAGCAGAGTTGAGTATTAGGTGAATATTCCAATTAATTATTCTTTTTATCTAAGGTTTTTGGTTGAGATGAAAAATTAGTGCTATGAGCGGAATTTGAACCTACGAATTACCTTTGGCTGAATATGCCGCTGCATTTATCTAATAATTAATATGGTCAATTATAACCATTAATCAAATATGGATTAATTAGGTAAATAGCTTTAGATGTTAAATTGAAAGTGTCAACACACAATGTTTTGTTCATTAAAATCGATTATTTCTGGGTTGTAACATAAACAAATGATACCATTGTAGTATAGGGCACTCTCAACACAACTCACAGTAATGACACATCTACACAGATAACAAACATTTTAAGCCCTGAATATGATCTCAATAAAGATCGAAATGGTAGCATGATAAAGAAAATGTTTCTAAACCTATGTCACACCAGACCGCATCTCACAATCTCCAAATAATCATTATGTGTAAAGTAAGCAGACATGTCAAATCACATATAGGAGTTTATAAAGAACTTGATGAATGTTTTGAGGAGTTGCACATGGATCTCACAAGCTAACAATACAATAGTAAAATAGAAATACTGCATTGAACCATACAAACTGCTTTGAAAGAACATAATACATTAAAATGGATGGAATCATTGCCCACATTACTTTTGGGTCAACATGAGACTAATGCTTCTCTGTCCCCGATGATGTACAGCAAGACAATAAAACTTCACGACGAATTCTCCAGAGAACCAACTCTGCCAAATAAAAGGTCCAGAAGGGTTTGTTACAGATCTGCAACACCCCTTGAGATGACTCAAACTTGTACTAGTCAAGCACACAACTGCAAGAAGTGAATTTGTGCATAAGGACTTTTTAGAGAGTATTTGAAAGAATCCATAAATACATCGCTTGACTAACTGTTCAGTGTAATTATTAATTATGAGTATGGCCAACAGATTGTTCTTAGTTTCTTTAAAGTTTGACTATTTGTAGTTCATTTGAGTGTAAATATTTTTAATGCTTGTATGTTTTGATAAATGATGCAGAAGTAAGCATTTCTTTCATAACTTTTATACAAGGATCAATTCTATTGAAAATTCACTTTTGTATGTTTTTTTTTCCACCACTTAAATTTTAATGCATTTAGGTTTGTTCATATTTTGTATACCAAAAATATGTTTGATTTTAAAAGAAAATGTTTATTCTTAAAAAAAAAGTTTTAAGGTAAAGAAGAAACAAAGAAAAGACCTGGGTTTTGCCGACATACTTGTTGCTTAAGTTGGTCCCAAATGTGTTTGATTTGGTTGAAATCTGGACTTCAAGCTAGCCACACTGCAATACTTGCTCTATGGGGCTTGGCAATATCCTTCATAATCAAAAATCTAACACCGATGAGGGGGGCAGATGGCACTACATGTTCTTTGATTTTGTCTTGTAAGTGCTAGTAGTTAGAGATCTTCCTAGCAAATTAACCAATTCGGCACAGACATCCAACGGAATGCCACCCCAGAATGAATCAATGACCCACCATGGAATACCACCTGAGAACCCTTATAGCATGGGGTGTACCTTTTTATTGAGTGTCTCCATATGAAATTACGCACATATGAAGATTTGAGACTAACTCTCTCCACATCTATAAAGAGAATTCATCCCCAATCTTCCCATATCCAATTCACATGTTTCCATGCAAATTAAAGCCTGGCCATTTTCTGAGCTGTGGTAAGAAGAGGTCCATGAGCCAGGGGCCAGGCCCTGAGGTTAATTTCATTGAGCCTTCTTCCTACATACCTGGAAGAAATCTAAACATTTCGGACTTGTCATCAGATTTCTTATCTTATTTCCTGTAATGCTTCGGTTTTGTCTCATGATGAATGAATCTATCTTCTCTTTGGTTTGTAGTCCTTGATCGACCCTGC